AGAGAGAGAGAGAGAGAGAGAGAGAGAGAGAGAGAGAGAGAGAGAGAGAGAGAGAGAGAAATGAAGTGGCCGTCATGCCTGTACCCATAGATGTGTGCTGAAAACATGCATCCTACAGGTAGGGGCATATGGAAAATTTTGGTGCTGGTACTCAAAGGCTATCCGGTAGGGGCATACTGCAAATTTGGAACGCGTACAGGGAGGGGCATAACAAAAATATTTCAGGCCCAGCGGACGCCGGGGTTTTATGGGAAATTTGAATCTTGGTCAGAGGGGCCCGACAGGGTAAGTGGGCCGTCAGAGGGGGGCGGGGCAAAATAATGGAAATTACTGGGGCGCCAGACAAATTTTCCTTTTTTGCCTGGGAGACTTACTGCTATTTTGAGATATCATTGGGATTCGAACTTGGGTCTTCATTTCAACAGCTCAGGCATGGTACCAAGTAGTAAGGCCACTGGTTAGTGTCCAAGTGCAGCACCTTTGGCATGTGCCAAAAAGTCGGTGTCTGGTGAGTAAAAGTGCCTGCAACACTCCTAGCCTAGGGGTGCCTGCTGTGTTCGGGACGGCAACGTTTCTCTTCCATGGTGCTGAGAGACTTTTGTTAATCCGACTCCCTGAGTCTTGATGGTGGCTTGGACCTACAGCCTGTAGATTTCTTCTTGTGGTGTGAATAAGTGATAGCCCGCTCTAGTCTATGATGCATGTGTGGACTACCTTGCTGGTGCTGCCCTGCTGCTTGGATCCCTGCCCACTTGCTTTTGATTGCCTTGCTGCTCTGCTGCTTGGCACCCTGTCCACTTACTTTGCACTGCCTTGTTGCCCTGCTGCTTGGTCTTACTGCTTTGCCTGCTTGCTCAGTTCCCTCGGCCCATTGTGGATACTTGCTTGGCGATTGCTTGGCTTGCCTTGCTGCTTGCTGCCTGCCTCTCTGCCTCAGATCTGTGGACAACTTCAATGTGCCTGGCCATTTCTTGGCTGGCTGCTTTGCTGTTTGCCTTTGTGCCAGCTTCCCAGCCCCGCTGACCCCCTTTGCTTTACTGCTGCCTACTTTGCCTTGCTGCTTGTGTTGTCACCTGCCCGGCTATCCAGCGTCCACCTCCAACAAGGGTGGAAGTGGACTATGACCCAGAGCATCGATATGGGGATTCTGCACACGGCAACAACAGTGAAAACATCGACACTACAACTGCTAATGGTCTAGGACTAC